ACTGAGGAGCTTCCACATCACACTCATGCAGACAAGGACAACGTTTGAGCACAGCCTCTGTCCTCTGCAGAGCTCAGGAGTGAGGCTTTGAAACTGGGACACCGGGGATGCCGCCATTCCCTCCTGCTCCAGGCACTACCAGGAGCTCTGCTATATGACCGCACTGCAAAGTAGGTTGACCTTGGTTAAGTGGGTCCAGAAAATCTTCCCTGTTTTACCAGAGTAACTGTCTTTCGTGTGTCCTCTAGCTGCAGCAGGCAATTTCCTCGGTTCTTTGTTACATTAAATAATTGCATTACATTAGTTACTTCCCAGCATTTAGGGTTCACAGCTGGACTCCGTGAATATATAACATTGCCCATCTGTCCCTGGTTCTTCTGAATTGCCAGATATAGGCAGCAAAACTAGTCAGTCCTTCCTCATCACTAAAACAAACAAAACATGCACCTCACCATGGTTTGGAACAAATGCTTGTCCTCTGTTCCCCCTGGCTGCTGGGTGGGGAAGCTGTTAATACTGTCTGCACTGGGGACAAGGGTTTCAGTCAGCCTGAGTTGGCTGAACAGTGTCTGGCTTATTCCTGAAGGGTGCAAAAAGGGGCTGGAAAATAGGACTGATATTTGGCCCTAAGACGCAGGATATGGGCTGCTCGGTCAAATCCTGCCTCTGCTGGCAGCGAACAAGTCATAAGCTCACAGCAGAGTCTAGGTGAGTAGGAGCCCTTGTATATCTCTAGTCCAACTTCCTGCTCAGATAAAGGCTAACTCCAAACTAGATCAGGTTCCTCAGGGCTGTGTCCAGCTCAAGTATTTCCCACACTGGATTCTTCGCAGCCTCTTTGGGCCCTCCAGTACCCTGGGGAAGAATATTTTTCCTTACATCCAGCTGGGATTTCCCTTTGCTGCAGCTTGTGCCCATTGCCTTTCACTGTGCACCTCTGGGAAGAAGAAGAATCTGGACTCTGTCTGCTTTATAGTCCCCTTGAGGCAGTTAAAAGCTGCAAGAGGATCCTCCCCTTTTTTTCTCCTGTGCACATTAGCAGCAAGAGCAAGCCCTCCATGAGGCTGCTTTCTTAAACCACCACCAGACCTCCACCCACAGCAAATCCAGGGTTTGCCTGATATGCCAGCCCACCACAGGGTAGTTTCCTCATGAACAAGGAGATGTTATTATTCCTCTGCAAGCTCCCCATTGGGCAGGCTTAACACCCAGTCACATGAAGCCATCAGCAGACTGTCTTGGCCTGCAACCCAAGCCCATGGCCTCCTGCTTTAGGGACAAGAAACGGCAAAAACATGCTTGTTTCTTCAGAGCTGAGCATTAAAACTCATTTACCCTCCTGCAGCTCTCATCAAGCCAGAATGACGTCTCTGGAGCAAAGCCCAGAGAATAGTTTCAGGGCAAAAGGAAGTATTTTCCCCTTTTGTTTCTATCTTTCCTCCAGCAACCAAATCTGCCAAGCCCAAAAACCAAAGCTGAGTGCCACCTCTGCCATTAGTGATCTCCATGATTCTGGCCACTGGTGTCCAGCAAAGAATGCTGCCCTGGTGCCTTGCATGAGCAGCTGGCACTGCAGCCCCCCCAAAGCAGAGCAGGCAGCGTGTGAAAGTTAACAGAGCCTGAGCCAGCACCCACTTCCCATGAGATCCCCAAGGAAGAAGGTGTGGATGGATGGGGAGGTCCCAGTGGGTTGCCTTCTTTAGCTATGCCCCGGGCACAGGGTCAAAGACCGGGGCGAGGTACCACTGAGGCAGCACAGCGGTGGGATTCCTGCATGAAGCTGTGCGTGCGGAGGGAGGGGAGGCAGGTCCTGCAGCCTGCGCTGCATTTGTGTGACTATACTCACCCTTCCAGTGCTCCCCCACATGGAGTGGCACAACTGTGCAGAGGATCACTTGTTAAAAAGACCGACCAAATACCCCGAGCATCAGCATGTAAACAGCATGCATTTACAGCCTAGCGTTGATGGAGAACAGTTACTATTTGTTTGGCTTTCTGTCCCATTCTGCTTCTGAAGTCATGACATGGGCAACAGTGCAGGGGAATCCATATGCACTTTTGCTGCTTCAGTTGTTAAACATACACAATTTTCCTAAATAAATGCTTGGGATCTTCCTGGTGACTGTCTCAATCCTGCCAGCTGAGATTGCTGGCTGTTTTAAATATCCCACTTGGAGAACAACGCCCAGTCTTCTCAGGAGAGCAAAAAATCACTGATTTACTCTTGCGCTTTATCTCCAGCTAACTCTAATGCAGTTGTCATTCAAATACTTCAATTCAGCATGATACCTCAATTAAGCTTTTAAATGGTAAAAGCAAAAAAGGTATTTATAACCTGGTATTTTAGAGACCTTACTATAAATGCAGCCTCACAAGATTCTCCACCACACTAAGAAGCTAGATCTCCATACAAAGTCTTAGAAGAAATCAGCTGGAAATAACTGTGGGCACTGAAGATGCAATACTTTAAATACCATTTTATGTGCTGCACATGCAACATTAAATAGCTACAGCTCTAGGTTTTTCCAATAGCATGAAAAATGGTATTATTAATCCCACGCTTCATCCCATGCCGAGTACATTTTAAACTTACCCCTGGCTAGTTGAAGATCCTTCAGCACTGGCAGTTGCTAGAGTTGGGAATTAGCACTGTGCAAGAAAGGAAAGAGACAGGAGAGCAATGGTGGCTTGACGTTTCCCAGGATGGGACTGTCACATGCTAATCACTGATTTGAAACGCAAGCATAACAAATGCCTTCTAATTATGTAATCTTCAGGTCACATCCTTGCATCCCCATGCAAAAACCAGGACTATGCGCTTGGAAGAAGATGATACTGACTTTTTTCCTTTTTAATTAGAATTGCACACTGCTGTGAAGGGAGGGTGAGAAGCCTTGTGAAGTGATTGGCAGAGGGGGCCGTGTCATGAGAGCCAGGTGCTGATGTGGTCTCTGCTACTTCACCGAGCTCAGAGGCTCTTAAGTACCTCCTGTGGCACCTGCAAGTGAGGCAGCCTGCAGTTGGGGTCAGGGAAACGGGACCAGCTCCTCCCTGCTTTCTCTGACACCCTCAGTCTTTTACCATGCATGGCCTCACTAGGGATGCCAGGGCCAAGAGGGCTCCCCTTCTTTCATTCAGGGGCCAAGAGCAAGGTTGCCAAAGTAGCCAGGGCAGGGAAGCAGCAACCACCAGCACTTGTGTATTTTCTGTTGCTTGTTTGATCATGAAAAATTTCCTTTGAGAAAAATAAATAAGGGCTTGGAGGGAGGTGGGAGAGTGGGAGGCAGCAGCCCTCCACACCTGCTCCATTTCTTCACTAAGGTCCTGCAGGGCTTTTTGCTCTGAAGGGTGCCAAGAAAGCACGGGGAGAATGTGGGTAACCCAAGGCCAAGGGTGTCAGGAAAAGGTTTGAGCCAGTGCAGTGAGTTACTCCAAAGCATAAGAGCAGGAAGACATAAAGGAGGAGGAACAGTAACAAAAGGCAAACTAATTTCTCCCTGAAAGACACAGATCTGCTTCAAAGATACCCTTCAGGCAGAAAACCTGAAATGTAAAACCACACAGCCTAAATCAGTATAATTGCTGTGCAGCACAGATAAATGTGGTGATGTGGAGTCCTAGCAAAGGAGCTGGAAGGACAGGCTCAGATTAACAGAAGCTCTGTGGATGATGGTGCTACCTCTGTAGTCAAGGACTAGGGGCAAAGGACGCTGTAGTTCTTTTTTGGAGCTGGCTATTTCAGGAGCAAAACACAACAAAATTGAACAAAATAAAATTATAATTCTGAAGGAGTTTGCTGGAAAGTGCAATTTTTGGTGCATTTTGTTTGTTGTGAATTCAACAAACAGCTCAAGCTAGGAAAGATTTTTTTTTCTAATAAAGAAAAACCTGTAGCTTCATGAAGCTATGAACAAAACATTTCAAATAGAGTTTTTCCTACATGCAGCTTTAAGAAAAAGGGCTGAAAGGCGTTATATTGCCAAATGATCCATGCGCTGCTTTGTTTCAGATGGCCCAGTATGTTTCAGTCTGCTGATAATGTGCTGGTTTTTCATTTTGCTAAGAAAGCACAGGGCCCAAGATTTTTCCGAATCCTAGCAAAATGAGCTGAGTATTTGAAGGCATATCTGAAGGAACAGCATTTGCACGTTGTGTCTGCAAATGGAGGCAAGGACAGGTATTTAGTAAAACTCCATTAAATATCTGCCAAGCAGAGACTCAACACACATTTTTTCCTGACAGCACTCGTATGTTTTTTTTTTTAAACTAGAAAGCAGTTTTTCTGCTTTGTAAAGGAAAGCATTTAGATTAATAGTGCAGAGATCTTTGATGACCAAACGCAAACAGATTTTTCATTGCATTAGACTTTCTGATGGGACAATGGCAATGATCAGTCTCCCCTGTGTGCTCTCCCATCTGCTTCCCTTCCCAGAGAAAAGCAGCTTTGGTGCATGGCAAGAGGCCTGTCCTTGAGCAATCTGGAGCCTGGGGTTTATGAGCTTGACCTGTGAAGAGTAACTACCATGTTACAGCTGCACTTGCTCTCTGCCCTGACCCCACTATGCAACACCTGGCTCAGGGTAAACATGATCGTATGAGCACTGTGTTTGCAAAAGCTTCTATGGGTGGCAAGGTTTGTTTTCTGGGGAAAGTTACAAAAGTTGAGCATAAATTAGGCTTCATTTGTTGATGACAGTTTTTTTTGAAACTCAGGGAGAAAAACCTAGGGCAAGTTAAAATAAAAAAAAGAATTTAGTCATAAACGGCTCTGCTTACAAATTCACCCCATCCAACTTCATTTCTTTAAGGTTTTCACTTAGATTTCAGCTGATCAATCTGAAAAGAAAAATAATTTTATTTACTATTGACATGCATCCTCAGGGGTTATTTTTAATAAATACATGAAGGAATCGGTGCTGTTGAAAACTGGTCACAACTGTTGAGCCCAGAATGCAATCAGAGAGCTGCCTTTAACCTGTGCTACTGTCTGTGCCAGATAGCTACATTTTCAACTTCTGCTTCAGTCCCACTGCTGCCGAGCCATGAAATGTGCCACTCTACACCACTCCATTTTCATCTATGAAATCTCCTTCACTTTCCATCCTGTAATGACGTAAATCCAGCCTGTTGAGAATGCAATCAGTTTGTGGCAGCACGGTGATGTGTGCGCTACCCAGATAAGCAAATTGCCACAAGTCAGAACCTTCCCAGTGTAGTGTAAGTACCTGCTTTAACTTTCTCCCACATTGTAGTCTGTAAGTTTTGACGTACAAAACACACAGGTTAGAAAGCCAAGGAATCATATTCCTTTCTTTGCAAAACTGTATTTATACTAATGTCCTCACAGCATGTAGCCTCTACAGGAAAAACTTCGTAGTCCCAGTCATGATTTGAAGTTACCAGGGATTAAGTCCTATGAAGTTCATCCTGACTTTCATTAGGGGCATCTTAAAGATGTGTAAGTGTATGCAGCCAGTGTGATCTTCTTGCTCTGTGATCTTCTTCCTGTAAAAATCCATCCTCTCTTACCCTTTCCCCATCCTGCTACGTGCTGTTATGACAAAGTGCAAGGATTTACAG